GTTCTCACCTCGCCTTTTCTTTGCCTGTGTCTGGTTTTCTCTTACATCTTTGAATCATTTTTCTGTTCCCTCTTTCAATTTTTTTATCACTTTGATGTTACTCCCCTCTGTGAATCCTGAAGTCAACTGAAGGGCCAATGATAAGTGGCGAAACGACTGCCATTTGAAATAAATAAATAAATCTGATAGGAAAATGACACATGCATAGTTAGTTATATTCTTTTAAGCGATTTTGAAGTAGCACAGATCACATCTATAGAACTTCAACCTCCTATTAACTTTTTCCAGGCCAAAGTGAAGTTACCATTTATACCACCAAGCAAGTCAACGCGGCACTTGAAATGATTAGCTATACCTCAGGGTCCTTAAGTGCATCAAATTGACTTGACAGATGAGAGAGAGCGAGCGAGGATTGACATGAATGATCTCGTTTTTCATCTTACAACACTTTCAGCAGTAGCGCCTCCGGGCTGAAGAAGATTTATGTATGTGCTGAACTCTGCTAGTTGCACAAGGATTTGTGTGTATGCATGTTGGCGAACGTAAGTGTGCACGCTGACAGTGGTGTATACACATACGATCAAAGATTCGCCTTGCGCAGATGAACAACACTTTACACAACCTTCTACTCGTATTTCGCATTTAATCAGGAGTTCAAACAGCTACACTGCCATGCCAAAATTGAGTTTGCAATACACTAACAGCTACTGTGAATAAGATTACTCTTATTTAATTTGCTTAAAGGGTTAAATAACTGCCTAACGAAGCGGAGTTTCAGTTGGATATTGACTCCAATAACTTCAGAGTTCAACTAAGGAAGAACTAAATTTTAGGAATGAGGAAATCACTCATCTGGTCTTCCTTTCAGTTAGTCCTCTCAGACATCTACGTTCGCTCATCTCCTCCTTTGCTCATGTGTTATTTGCCAAAATGTCAGAAGCAAAGGGCATCCGAAAGCTTGATAGCTTTATTAATTTAAGGCAGTTTATATTAGGACGTTAAAATGCTTAAAAAATTGGCATCACGAATACTTTTCTACCTTTTTCGACAGCCGAGTATAAGCTCGCTTTAAAATTATCAAAACTCAAAGTCCCTTTTGATGTGCAAAAATTAGAAATAAATAAAATCAAGCGCCATTGAGTAAATGCTACCATGACTACATACTCTTAACCCCATTGGTTTGATTCGAATCAAAGCGATAAATCGATTTTCACACACCAGGATTTGAAGTCTGGCACCCTTGATATGATCTATACTTTAATGGAGCCAGTAGTTAACCTGATAAACTTTGATTTAGTTAAGTATACCTCCACAAATATTGAAGGATAGATTTCAGAGGAGCTTGTCTGTTGGGAGAACCTAAATTATTTCATGAATTAATCATCGCAACATCAACAAAATTTAGAGTTTTAAAACGGTTCTCCTGTTACTTACCCTTTACCTATTAAACTCAAAGTTTAAAAGAAACGTAAACGCTTCGAATATTGGCTATTTTAGGTTTTCGTTAACTAAGTCTTTTAGATACTTCAATATATCACGATTGACTTACCTCCACATGGTGCACCCTGGGCAACGTATACTCATACGGCAAAAAAGTCTATTTACTGGCAGTTGACTTCAAACTACCAAGGCCCCCCTGTATGACATATTCGACCACTTCCGCAGTACTACATCACATTTTTTTCTAAATTTTCAACCTTCGTCTTTGAAAAACTCTTCAGTTCCCCTCCTCTCGACTTTTTTCACTTCGATGTTCCTTCCCCTCTGTGAAGCCTGAAGTCAACTAAAGGGCTAATGATAACCATCAAAACGCCTGCCATTTGATATAAATAAATATTTCACGATATTCTCTATTGAAGAGGTAAAACATGTCGTAAGTTAATATCCACTCTATTTATACAACATAAAACTATTAAAGTAAATGCGAATTTTGCTTGAACTCTGAAATTTTCACATTTCATTTCGATCTAGTAATAAAATTACTAAAAAGGCTGAAGTAATTTAAATAAATTCTTTTATGAGAAGCTTACTTATTTATATCAAATGGCAGACGTTTTGATAGTTAAAATTAGTCCTTTAGTTCATGCTTAACAGAGAGGAGAAGGAACATCAAATTAAAAGGAAGTCGAGAGGGGGGTGGGGAACTGAAGAGTGTTTCAAAGATGTAAAAGAGACAAACTCAAAGGTAGAAAAAGGTGGGGTGAGTACTATGGAAGTGGTGGAATATGACATACAGTGGGGTGATGGTAGTTTGAAGTCAGAAGTCAACCGCCGGTTAATAGACTTTTTGACATATTATATTCGAATATGGCATAGAGTGAGGTGATGGTAGTTTGAGAGGTCGAATATGACATACAGTGGGGTGATGGTAGTTTGAAGGATGTCGAATATGACATACAGTGGGGTGATGGTAGTTTGAAGTTTCGAATATGACATACAGTGGGGTGATGGTAGTTTGAAGTGGAAGTAGACGAATATGACATACAGTGGGGTGATGGTAGTTTGAAGTCAACTGCCGGTTAATAGATTTATGCCTTATGAGTATACGTTGCCCAGGGTGCACCACGTGGAGCCGTATGAGTAAACGTTGCCCAGGGTGCACCACGTGGAGCCGTATGAGTATACGTTGCCCAGGGTGCACCACGTGCCGTTTGAGTATACGTTGTCCAGGGTGCACCACCTGGAGGTAAGTCTATCGTGAGTATACGTTGCCCAGGGTGCACCACGTGGAGGTGTATGAGTATACATTGCCCAGGGTGCACCACGTGGAGGTAGCCGAATGAGAATACGTTGCCCAGGGTGCACCACGTGGAGGTAAGGTGTGAGTGTACGTTGCCCAGGGTGCACCACGGACTCTTTTGCCGTGTATACGTTGCCCAGGGTGCACCAGTTTGTTTGCCGTATGAGTATACGTTGCCCAGGGTGCACCACGTGATAGACTTACTTGCCGTATGAGTACACGTTGCCCAGGGTGCACCACGTGGTGCCTTATGAGTATACGTTGCCCAGGGTGCACCACGTGGAGCCGTATGAGTAAACGTTGCCCAGGGTGCACCACGTGGAGCCGTATGAGTATACGTTGCCCAGGGTGCACCACGTGCCGTTTGAGTATACGTTGTCCAGGGTGCACCACCTGGAGGTAAGTCTATCGTGAGTATACGTTGCCCAGGGTGCACCACGAGGAGGTAAGTCTATCGCACACCCCCTTTAATGAGAAGTAATACATCAATTTTGGCCAGGACAAACAAAACCAGCCAATTGATAAGCCTGAAAAGCACTTTGGAGACTACTTGAATACTTTAAAGTACACATTCCGAGACAAAGAATAAACTCAACGGTCGTAAGGCATGTAGTCATATTGTCTCCTTTTACATTAATGTTACCGTTTAACTTCAAAGAGGATTAATGCACCAGCCACCATCAGATCCATATTTTGAAGCTAAAGATTTTTCCCATAATTAGAACGACGACAACATTTAAACTGCAATAAAATCTTCATTCTAGAAATAAATTCCTAAAATTTTGACTTGTTGCACTATTTTTAACAATAATTGTTAAAAATAATTTTGCTTAAATTTATGTTCTACCGATCAATGTTAAAATTTCCGATAAGTCATTGCAACGTTTTTAGAAGAGGGGTGTGCGATAGACTTACCTCCACGTGGTGCACCCTGGACAACGTATACTCATACGGCAATAAAGTCTATTAACCGGCAGTTGACTTCTGACATCGAATTACCATGGCCCCACTGTATGTTATATTCTAACACTTTCTCAGTACTTGTCTCACCTTTTCTTTGTGTCTGTCTGTCTGTCTCTTTGCATCTGTTAATCATTATTCTGCCCCCTCTAGA